AAACGACCAGTAGCTATGACGTGCACTGACCACCAGGGGGCAGACGCTCAACGCAGGAGCTGCCCCCTGGTGGTCAGTGCGCTCCAATAGGGGGAGCACCGCTCAGCAAGAAGCTGGGCTCATGGCTGGCGAGCGCAGCAACAGTGGTAGGAGCCTCTCCCGCCTCCGCGGCAGCTGACCATCAGTCGGACATCCCCCGAGGACTCCCAGACTGCGAGAGGGTGGGCTGAGGGACACCTCCCCCCCCCCCAGTGCACAAATTTCGTGCACTGGGCCTCTAGTATTTAATAGTTTTCTGAGTGACATTTGCGTGTTATAAATACATTGTTGTTAGATACTCATCTTGGTTTATAGGTACCTTGTTTCACATTTACCTGTTTTACTTTCTCATCAATTTATACAATAGTTGTTTCCACAGGACCTTTTCTGTTTGTACAAGAATATCTTTTTATCTTAATTTTTGAAATGTGTACATATTGACCTTGAACCCAATTAATATAGGCAAATTGTAGTATGAGAATAATTTATAACTTGTTTAAATTAATTCGTAGGACATGAAAGCATCAAAATTTTAAATTAAGTTCTATAATTAACTTTATTGAGGTTTTATTATCTAAAATATTTGCTTTAACTAAGCATATCTAGAAAAGAAAACTTTTTTAAATCACCCACAATTTAACTGTTGAGCCACTTACCCTCTAATTATGACATAAGAAATTTATTCTTTTTTCCTTTTTCTGTGAAAATGTGGTATAAGATATGACAACAGTTTCTATTATTTTGTCTTCCCCACAGCGATTCTGGCGCAATTACCTAAATCAAAAGCAAGTCAGAGACGCAGCTGTGCAAAAGGATGCTCTAGTTATGGCTAGTGCAGCTACTCTTCTCCAGGCTTCCTGGCGTGCTCACTTAGAGAGGCAGCGGTATTTGGAGCTCCGGACTGCAACCATCATCATCCAGCAGAGATGGAGGGAGTGCTATAGGTGGAGGCACATGGCTGCTATTTGTATACAGGCAAGATGGAAAGGCTACAGGGAAAATAAGAAGTATCAAGAACAAAGGAACAAAATTATCCTTTTGCAGTCAATATGTAGAGGATTCAGAGCAAGACAAAGGTAATCTTTGTTTTTATAATAATTCTCTCTGTGCAAGTACATTATTTATACTTTTGTTCTAACACTTGCCTAACTTGTGTTAGAATTGGTTTTGTGCAATTTGTCTTCTCCACGAAACTGTGATACTCCTAGCAATTTTCATCTACATTGTGTCGTCTATAATAGAAGCTAAATAAGTGTTTATTGAATTAAAGTGGACTGAAAACCTACATGGTCTGTGGTTATAACTGCTGAGTTAACTTTTACATTAGGTTGAATCTTTAAAAATTGGCATTATTCAACTGTTTTTACCTTTAGAAACTTTAATTTTATGTTTAAGGTTTATGTTAAAATAAGGATATTGTTAAAGGAGAGCTTACTTCTGGTTTTATTTATTTATTTTTTTAGTAAAATGCCTAATTACAAATAATGCACTTAATGATATATAATCTCACTCATCAAAATAGGATTATGAAATGTGCTTTGAAGTTAGTTTGAAACATACTTAGGTATATTAAAATTTTCTTCTTTTTTTTCTTAAATTCTCAGTAAATGTATTTTCTCCAGTAATAACCTACTTTTTTTTTCTATTTTCATATAGATTTAAAGCTTTAAAAGAACAAAGGCTAAAAGAAACAAAACTAGAACTTGGATTGATGAATATTGAGCCACATGGAGCTCTGAAAATTCAGGGTTCAGACCCTTCAGAATGGGAGGATTGTTCTTTTGACAACAGAGTAAAAGCCATAGAGGAATGTAAATCTGTGATAGAGAGTAATCGAATTAGTTCAGTGGACTGCTTGAAGGATTCCCCAAACAAGCGACAGGAGAGAGCCAGAAGCCAGAGTGGTGTGGACTTGCAGGAAGATGTGATTATAAGAGAGAGACCCAAGTCCTTGGAGGATCTCCACCAGAAAAAAGTAGGTCGGGCCAAAAGAGAAAGTCGGAGAATGAGAGAACTAGAACAAGCTATATTTAGCTTAGAATTGCTAAAAGTTCGTTCTCTTGGTGGTGTGTCTCCTTCAGAAGAACGCCGATGGTCTACAGAACTGATGCCTGAGGGCCTTCAGTCTTTACAGGGTACACCTGATAGTGAAAGCTCTCAAGAAAGCTTGGAACTTCTGAGCTGCGAGGAAAGCCAAAAGAGCAAACTAGAGTCTGTAATGTTAGATGAAGGAGACTTGCAGTTTCTATCACCTAAGATATCTAGCAGTCAAAAATTTGATTCACAGGCCAATGCCCGAAGTACCTCAAGTGAGGCTAACTATACATTGAGTCAAAAGGGAGCATCCTCTGACTCAATGCATTTGAAGAATGGGACTATGAAGGAAAAACTGGTTTGCAGTTCTGAATCTATTACCTGTAAGCCACAACTGAGAGACTCCTTTGTTTCCAGTAGTTTGCCTACATTTTTTTATATTCCTCAACAAGACCCACTGAAAACAAGTTCCCAACTAGACACAAGTATCCAGAGAAACAAACTAATGGAAAGTGAAGAAACAATTCCAGCTCTTACTTTGGATGTTAACAGGAAAACTAGAAAGTATCGCTACTCAGGAGAAAATCAAGTTGTTGCTTTGAGTACAGATTCTTCTAATACTGTGCTTAAGAAGTTGGAAAAGCTGAACACTGAGAAGGAAGAAAGGCAAAAACAGTTGCAGCAGCAGAATGAAAAAGAGATGATGGAACAGATTAGACAGCAAACAGATATTTTAGAGAGGGAGCGTAAAACCTTCAAGACAATTGAAAAACAAAGAATTGGGGAGTCTTTTCCAGTATCATCTTTCTATCAATCAAAACCAAGAGTAGAGAGGCCATCCTCTCTCCTCATTCCGAATACCCCAAATAAGAAAGAATCTGATGTACTAGGGCATCCATCAGTAACTGTAAAAGATGCAGCTCTTGCCCTAAAAGACAGTCCCTCTGCTCACTTTCCCCTGAAGGATCGACCTGCCACCCTGTTCTTTGAAAGAAAAGGAGGCCCATGCCAATCTAGTACTGTCAATGAATTATCCAAGACAGACAGAATGTGCAACCAACCGAATGTAGCCTGTAAATTCAATAATAATGGCATTTCAAAAAGAGAACACTTTAAGCCAACTCAATCTAAGAGCCACAAATCTAATGACCCTCCCAGAGATGGAACTACTATGGCCATTTTCTTCACACCAAAGGAAAATATGAGTATTTCCCTGTAAGTGAAATGTTTATTTATTTTCATGTATAAATGGGAAACTTTTGGAGAATTTTGCAGACATACCTCAGAGATACTGAGGGTTCAATTCCAGACCACTGAGCAAAGCAAGTATCACAGTAAAGTGAGTCATAATCTTTTTGCTGATTAATCATTAATCATCCTTGTGAATTACTTTTTTGTGAATTATTTTTTAAAATCAATTTTTCAAGATAAACTATCTTTAGTCTACTTGATCTAGTTTGCTTTACCTAAGTAAGAATTGCTTATCTTCAAAATGATTATATATTAAATTGTTTATGTAAAAGCTTAAGTAAAATGTATATTTCAAGTCTCTCATTCTATAAGTAATACTAGAAACCTTAGCATTTTATAGAATTATAAATGTTGATGTTTTAAAATTTATCTAGTCCAGTTCTCACATATAGATGAGCTCACTGGTGCCTCCAGAAGTGAAATGACTTAAGGTCACATTAAATAGCTGGGACTAAAACCTGAGTTTCATGATTAGGAATCAGCATTGGGTTTCATAGTGGTGATAAGTACATGATGGTCTTCATCTGGTTCATGAGAAAGAACAAAAAGAAATGGAATCTAAAGGAAATGCCATGAGTTTAAAAGTTAGGGTGGTCAAATGCTATCAAATGTTCTAGTGCCCAGCCGGTATTGCTCAGTTGTTGAGCATAAGCCTATGAACCAGGAGGTTACAGTTCTATTCCGGTCAGGGTACATGCCAGGGTTGCGGGCTCAGTCTCCAGTGGGGGGCGTTGTAGGAGGCAGCCGATCGATGATTCTCTCTCATTACTGATATTTCTATCTCTCTCTCCCTCTCTGAAATTTAAACAAAAAAGCTTCTAGTAATTATTGCTCTCTTTGGAGAACTAATCAAAGACCAATAGGCACAACTGTGGTAAAAGAAATTGTAATGACCAAAAGGGAATCTTTTAGGAGAAATTAGGATTGCTAGGCTTGATCATACATAGTCAAAAAGGGAGATATCTGAAATGCCATTACCTAGGAAAGATTGCCATCTATATGGGACTGTTTAGGGATTATTACATAGGACAAAGGACAAGATACTAATTTTGTATTCTGCTACTATGATGAGTTCATTTATTAGATCTAGTAGTTTTTTGGTGGAGTCTTTAGTTTTTCTATGTACAATATTATGTCATCTGTGAATAATGACAGTTTTCCTTCCTCCTTTCCGATTTGGATGCCTTTTCTTTCTTCTTCTTGTCTGATTGCTGTGGCTAGGACTTCCAGCACTATGTTGAATAAGAGTGGTGAGAGTGGATATATCTGTCTTATTCCTGATCTTAATGGAAATGCTTTTATTTATTTTTTTGCCCGTTGAGTATGATATTGGCTGTAGGTTTTTCATATATGGCCTTTGTTATGTTGAGGTATAATCCCTCTAGTCCCACCTTACTAAGAGTTTTTATCATAAATGGGTGCTGGATTTTATCCAGGGCTTTTTATGCATCTACTGATTTGATCATATTTTTATCTTTTATTTATGTGATGTATCACATTTATTGATTTTCGGATATTGTAGCAGCATCCCCAGTATAAATCCCACTTGGTCATGGTGTATGATCTTTTTATTTATTCATTTTCTTTTATGTTTTTAATGGATCTTTTAGTAAGAGTGAAAGAGAGATGGGGAGAGAGAGAAACATCAGTATGAGAGAAAAAATTAATTGGCTGCCTCCTGCATACCCCCTACTGTGGATGGACCCCAAAACCAGAGCATGTGCCCCGACCAGGAATCAAACCTGAGACCCTTTGGTGCATGGGTCAACGCTCAACTAACTGAACCACACTGGCCAGGACATGTGTATGATCTTTTTAATTTTTCGCTTGATCCGCTTTGCTAATATTTTGTTGAGGATTTTAGCATCTATGGTCATCTAGGGTATTGGCCTATAATTATTATCTTTGTTTGTAGGGTCTTTATCTGGTTTTGGAATTAGGATAATGCTGGCTTCATAAAAAGAGTTTGAAAGTCTCCCTCCTTGAATTTTTTGCAATAGTTTGAGAAGCATAGGTGTTAGTTCTTCTTTGAATGTTTGGTAAAATTTGCCTGTGAAGCCATCAGATCCAGGACTTTTGTTTGCTGGGAGTTTTTTTTATTACTGCTTCAATTTCATTAGGTATTACTGGTCTCTTCAGGTTACTGATTTTTCCTGATTGAGTTTTAGAAGATTGTATGTTTCTAGGAATTTGTTTATTTTGCCCAGGTTGTCCAATTTGTTGGCATATAATTGTTCATAGCATTTTCTTACAATCTTTTGTATTTCTGTGGTCAGTTGTTACTTTGATTATTTCATTTCTGATTTTATTTATATGGGTCCTCTCTCTGTTTCTTGGTCAGTCTATCTGGCTTAAGGTTCATCAATCTTGTTTATCCTTCCTTCCTTCCTCCTTTTCTTCCTTCCTTCCTTCCTTCCTTCCTTCCTTCCTTCCTTCCTTCCTTCCTTCCTTCCTTCCTTCCTTCCTTCCTTCCTTCCTTCCTAGGGATAGAGAGTTAAAACATTGATGAGAGAGAAACATCCATCAGCTGCCTCCTGCACACCCCCTACTGGGGATGTGCCCGCAACCAAGGTACATGCCCTTGACCGGAATTGAACACTCTATCCACTGAGCCAAACTGATTAGGGCTTGTTTATATTTTCAAAGAACCAACTCTTGGTTTCATTGATCTTTTGTATTGTTTTTTTAGACACTGTGGTTTATTTACTCTCTGATCTTTATTATTTCCTTCCTTTTACTTTATCTGGGCTTTTCATATTGTTCTAGTTCTAGTTCTTTTAGGTGTAAGGTTAGATTGTATATTTGAGATTTTTCTTGCTTTTTGAGGTAGGCCTGTTATGCAGTGAACTTCCCTCTCAGGACTGCTTTCTGTGCGTCCCGTATATTTTGAGTTATTGTGTGTTCATTTTCATTTATTTCCAAGTAATTTTTTATTTCTTCCTTGATCTCCTTGGTAACCCATTGATTGTGTAAAAGCATGCTGCTTAGCCTCCATGTGCTGGAATTATTTTGAGTGTTTTTATTTTAGTTGATTTCTAGTTTCATGCCATTGTGATCCTGGAAGATGCTTAATATGATTTCAATTTTCTTGAATTTGTTAAGATTTCTCTTATGTCCTAACATGTGGACTTTTTTTGAGAATGTTCTATGAGCACTTAAAGAATGTATACTCTCCTGCTTTGGGATGAAATGTTCTCTAAATATCAGTTAAATCCATCTGATCCAGTGTCATTTAAGGTCGCAATTTCCTTGTTGATTATTTGTCTAGAAGATCTATCCACTGATGACAGTGGGGTTTTAAAGTCCCTTACTGTGACTGTATTACTGCCAATTTCTCCCTTAAAGTCGACCAAAAGTTTTATATATGCGCTCCTATATTGAGTGTATATATGTTAACAAGGGTTATGTCCTCTTGTTGCATCAATTCCTTTAGTATTGTGTAGTGGCCTTCTTTGTCTCTGTTATGGCCTTTATTTTGTAGTCTATTTTATCAGATATAAGTATTTCTACTCCAATTTTTTTTTCATTTCCACTTGCATGGAATATTTTTTTCCCATCCCTTCACTTCCTGTCTGTATGTTTTGTTCTGAGGTGGGTGTCTTGTGGACAGCATATATATAGGTCATGTTTTCTTATCCATTCTACTACCCTATGTCTTTTGATTGAAGTATGTAGTCTGTTTACATTTTAGGTTCTTATTGATAGGTACTTATTCATTGCCATTTTTTTCCTTTATATCCATGTACCTCTCTTTATATTTCGTCTTCTTTTTAAAGCAGTCTGTTAACGTAAAAAAAAAAATTCAAACCTGTAAAGAATTTTTGTGAGTTTATTTGAGCCAATCTGTCGACAGTTGCCAGGAAGCAGAACCTCAACGAATTGAGATAATGCTTTGGAGAATGGCAGGTTACATCTATATTTATATATTGCAGTCAAAGGAGGGACAAAGGTGGGTTACATGAGATCCATTAGTGATAGACTAGAAAGGCAGGAGAAAGCAAAGCGTGGAAACCCTGGGATTGGATAAAAAGTAAAATGGTAGACACATACTTAGGTGGGTGTACGAACAATTAACATGATAACAATGAAGGAATTTATGGTATCTGTCTTGGCGCCCAGGCACAAGGGGTCCAGAAAAAGGGAAGTTACAAGTTACCCAGACATTTCAAGGGTATGTTATTATAGATGCAAAAGGTTATATGGATATTAAAGGTTGACCTTGTCAGTGAAGATACTGGCCTAGCATGTAACTACCCACCATAACTGCTTTTAGTTAAAGTTTAATTTCAGACCATCCTTTGTGGTTACTTTAGGTCTCTGAGTTTGCAAGACCACCATGCAGGCCTCCCCTGAGCTTGTCAGGTTAGCATGTGGCCCCTTTTGTCCACACATCCCCCTTTTTGTCATAAATCAGTCCAAAGGATACATTGATGACCAATCTTTTGGTTGGATAATGGAGTCCCACGGTGCTAGGAAGGCTTATTCCTAGGATGTCTCAGTGTCAGCATGTCTTGCTGAATAGGGGGGAACACTGTGGATGGGGCAAGACCATAACCTTAGATGGCATTTAAGGTCGAATTGTTATTATTCAAAAAGGGCAGGTAAATGGGAGGCAGTCAGATCCTATATGTCCTTGTTAAAAAGTATTCTGGATCATTTCTAATTTTTGAGTCACTATGATCCAAGTCTTTTTTGCTGTTTGTCAAGTTTTGTTTTTCTGCATCTAGTATAACATTTACATACCAGGAATAAAAGTAACAACAATAAACCAGTAACACTGGTTAGAAACAGAAAATGTCTAATATTAGACAAGGAAGGATCTGAGGGGAAATAAGTATCTGCTATTATCCAGAAGTTCCAATTTTTCTTCTGGGCAGTTAATTTCACCCATTCCTATATTTAGACAGTATTCATCTAAAATACTAATCTAGATTAGATCTATATATAATTCTACCAGGGGAATT